TTTTATCAGCCTACTTCGCCTGTTAAAACCACTTTGAACTTTGCAGGAGAGTTGCATCATGTACACATCCATTTTATGTTGCATGCCCAGAGCTCGAATAGTTAAGATGTTCTGTTGCAGTGAAAGCTATGGCATCAAGTATATTATGAAATCTCATGCATACCCTCCTAATAGAATGACAACATTTTCATCTTGCACGTTTAATAAAAAAGCATTTATTCATGAATCAGAAGTGGATTATAGCCAGTGACTTGCCAGGAGTTGATCAGACGACAAAATCGGTTATTTCCACAGTTAAAACTCGTTGAACTTTCTACAAGCTGAGTCAAATTCTTCCTGCTCACGGCAAAATTAAACACGCGACAAGCAGAAAACTGAAAAAAAGACACCAAAATCTGCTCATGTTGTTCATTCGTTCAGTCTAGAAACATTCTCTTAATCGGAAAACAAGAAACTTAGGACAAAAACCGCAAAAAGCGCCGATTTTGGTGTCTTTTTTTCAGTTTGCTGCTTGTCGCGTGTTTAATTTTGCCGTGAGCAGGAAGAATTTGACTCAGCTTGTAGAAAGTTCGACGAGTTTTAACTGTGGAAATAACCGATTTTGTCGTCTGATCAACTCCTGGCAAGTCACTGGCTATAATCCGCCAAAAAGGCCGATTTTAAGCCATTTTTGCCACATTTGGCAACTTCTTGGTGACAATTTTGTTATGAAATGGTCAAATTCGGATTCAACGCCAAAAATTACATAGGAAACCATGGAATTAATGCTGACCTGTGTTTTTGGAGGCTAAAATTTCTATCCGCCCGGACTCAAAAAGCGTCGTCGCTCCATAAAGCTGTTTACAAAAATGATGATATCTCGCGAACCAAAAGTTTCCCAGCGAGCTATAATATATCGATGGATGCGGAATCACACGAACTATCGATTAGACAACTTTTTATTCAAATTTGAAGATAGCTTCTTTGGGTATTTGCGGATTTGTAAAATTAGTCGAATTAAAAAATCGAAAAATTGGCAACAATGCATGTTAAAATTAATGCGACATTAAATTGATGGTCATTTCCTAAAAGTACGTAATTTTTAGAGAATTTTCGTTAAAACCGCAACTTCATAGCTCAATTTTAACGCCACTTACGGGATTTGCCTGTTTTCAACTTGGCAACGCTGTAGCGCGCGGGAAAAATTTCGGGTGAACTTGCCAACGCCGGAAAAAGGCGTGTCTTGTGATAGGGAACAACATATCCAACTCCGGGCAAAATCCAAGAGGGGGGTAAAATCGCCGATTTTGTATAACCCTCTTAGCATCAAGTCCGAGTGAAACTTCTTGCCAATGTTAACGCCAACGCAGCCTGCGACATGAAAGTTAGTTTTCAAACCTCTAAGCCCCCTGCCCCCCTCATTTTTGGTTGCAGAGCGGGTAAACCCGGGAAATTCCCTAATTCCCTACAAATAATGCCCGAAACTAATGTCCAACTTGAGGAGGACCCTTGAAACGTTGCGATCAGTCGGAGCATTGAAATACAGGGAATGCCACCCCCTTCAAGTACGGAATCACCCAAAACACCCCCGCTGCCCCCCTCATTTTTCGTTGCGGATCGGGTAAAAACCGGGAAAATCGTCAGACATGATGCCCAAAACCACTTTCCAACTTGACGAGGACCCTTGAAACTTTGCGACCAAGCGGAGCATTGAAATACAAGGTTTTTACCCTTATTTTTCGTTGCGGATCGGGTAAAAACCGGGAAAATCGCCAGAGATGTTGCCCGAGACTACTGTCCAACTTGACGCGGACCCTTGAAACGTTGCGTCCAGTTTGGAGAACTGCAACACAGGAACTGCCGCGGAATTTAAGGATGGATACAGCCATAAAACCCCCGCTGCCCCCCTCATTTTTCCTTGCGGAGCTGGTAAGAACCAGGAAATTCGCCAGAAATGTTGCCCGAAACTACTGTCCAACTTGACGCGGACCCTTGAAACGTGGCGACCAGGCGGAGCATTGAAATACAGGGTTTTTACCCGGTCTTTAACCGCTCCGCAATAAAAAATGAGGGGGGCAGCGGAGGTGTTTTAGATGTTTCCGTATATTAAGGGGGCGGCAGTCCCTGTATTTCAGTGCTCCGACTGATCGCAACGTTTCGAGGGTCCTCATCCAGTTGGACAGTAGTTTCGGGCAACATTTCTGGCGAATTTCCCGGTTTTTACCAGCTCCGCAAGGAAAAATGAGGGGGGCAGCGGGGGTTTTATGGCTGTATCCATCCTTAAATTCCGCGGCAGTTCCTGTGTTGCAGTTCTCCAACTGGGCGCAACGTTTCAAGGGTCCGCGTCATGTTGGATAGTAGTTTCGGGCAACATTTCTGGCGATTTTCCCGGTTTTTACCCGATCCGCAACGAAAAATGAGGGGGGCAGCGGGGTTGTTTTGGATGTTTCCGTACTTGAAGGGGGTGGCATTCCCTGTATTTCAATGCTCCGACTGATCGCAACGTTTCAAGGGTCCTCCTCAAGTTGGACACTAGTTTCGGGCATCATTTGTAGTGAATTAGGGAATTTCCCGGTTTTTACCCGCTCTGCAACCAAAAATGAGGGGGGCAGAGGACTAAGAGTTTTGAAAACTCACTTTCATGTCGCAGGCTGCGTTGGCGTTAACATTGGCAAGAAGTTCCACTCGGACTTGATGCTAAGTTTGAAGCTCTTCTGTGACTTTTTAGTTTAATATAATGTTTCATTGTAACAGGCCCATCCCCCCCTACGGTGGGGCATGTGGTGGCCCGGGGGCAATATGAAGACTTCGGTATCAGACTTGGAGTATTCGAGGACTCTTTGAAAAGAGAAACGGTATGTCCAAGAGCCGCCGAAGCTTCTCTAAACAATGAAGGTACGGACCCCCTAAATAACCTTCAGACCCCCCTAACTTTTGATAGGGGGGTCAGGTCGACTTCCGGTTTGCGCCAAAAAATTTCTTTTTTCATGCTCTATCTAACGATGTATCACATGGTGGGGGTTGCCATTTGAAATTTTTGAGTTGCTCCCCGCCCCCGGGGGGAGGGGGCGAAGAACTGGAAAGTACCTCAAAAAGTTTCCCCCTCGATAAGAGGAAGGACGCCACAAACCGCAAATCGATATCTTAATTAGAACTAAAGTTATGGCCAGTGGTGCGTAACTTTTGAATAACCCTGTATGTATATTATGAGTATGCTATAAGGGAGTTGTGCTACTAGGATAACCTCATCTTTATGCTTCAAGAAGTAAACAAAGGTTTTTCTACTGTGGTCATCAAGGAAAATTAGCACATAACGGTACCCACTGACTGGTGGTACTTCAAGGGGGCCCATTATATCAGAGTGCACTAATTCTAATAAATCTGTGGCGTGACTTTCACTTGAGTTAAATGGACGCTTATGGAGTTTTCCCTGAGCGCATATGCAATACAGGGCTGTTCATGAGAATTCTCAAAATCAAAACCGTCAGAAGCACTTTTTAATTTTTGCATGTTGGTGGCACTTATGTGTCCTAGACGTCTATGCCAAAATGTAGCAGTATCAGACACTTGTCATACATTTATCATGGTAAGAATTATCACATTCATTTAATTGAAACAGCCTATTAAAGTGTGAAGCTGTAAAGCAGACTTCACCTGAAATATTACCATTATTTACGTCGTAAATTTGACAGCCTTCATTTTTGAAAACAACGACAAGATTTTTCTGCATCATTTTTGAAACAGATAAAAGATTTGTAGATAAGGTTGGGAAGTACACAACATCTGTTATTACGCGTTCTCTATCGTCTACATTTACAAGAATATTTCCTTTACCTTTTCAATGTTCAATTGTATTGTTTGCTACTGCGATTTCTAGGTTTCTACCTACATTATCATTAAAATTGATGAGCCATTCTTTGCAATTGGTCATACCTATGCGTATCTCAGCTTGAGTCAAGATGCCACGTGTCGGAAGGACAAGTAACATGTGTTGGTAAACACTTGGCAGCCTTGAGCTCATCTTTTGGTCTCACTTTTAGTTTTGCCTTTGGTCCCATGCACTTTGACACTCTTTGCGTTTGTGGCCTCTTTTATTACACTTGGTACGTTTCCAATTGAAAGGTTTACCTAATTCGTTCTGATTTCGATGCCTTTATGCAGGCTTACCACTACCAGAATTTTTTGTCCAAAGGACTGACATCCTCTCATCGAAGGTTGCACGTTATTCCTGGCCAAGCAGGAACTCCTCTACTTTATGTGCCATGAGCCTGGTTGATGTGGCTTCTAGAGCTGTCGCTAGAGGTTTGAACTTGTCAGTCAGGCCATTCAGCATGATGCACGCAGTTTCTTCATCATCTATCCTTTATTCAACCTCCTGAAGTTGCTGGGTCAGAGACATGATTTCATTCAAGTAGGACGACATCAATTCGAAATTTTCCAACCTTACAGCATACAGTCTTCTCATTAGACCGAAACGTCTAGATACGCCCGTGGCGGAAAAGGCTTTGTACAAAGTGTCCTAGGCGGCTTTAGTAGTTTTGCCGTCATTGATGTGAACATACAGAAGAGGGTCCACCATCAGTTCTGTGTCGCATAGGATGATTTGGTCGTCTTCTTCTTGCCACTTATCAGATGGGCTTGTTTTAGTGACGTGACCCCACCTCCTCTCCCGCGTTAACTACAGTCGCGTGGCGAATGCCCAATTTTGTAGTTATAAGACCCCTTGAGTCTTTCAATTCGCGACATCCGCACCTACAAAGCCATGGTTTGACCAAAATCACTCAAAAAGTCACTTAATTATAGAAGCAAACTCTTCTTCGGCGATCAAAGAACGCACAAGGCGCGAGGACAGCCTATAAAGGCTTCCGCGAGGTTATTTTATAACCGAGGCTTCATTCCAAACTAAAGACAACACGACATTTTAGGAACAATCCGAACAATGTGATGTGAAGGCCCATATAACCTGTCATAAGTATAAAAGCAGTAGGTTTTATGTGAATGAACAAACAAACGCGATCGGATAACGTAGATACATGACGAGTTTATTGAGGAATACAACAAGAGTTATAGAGAGAGAAAAGAGGGGCAGATATAATGCGGTGGATGCCCATCAGAGGGCAGCACTATCCAGTGGTGTAGTTTACCACTATGACATTTGAATGCACTTTCCAGTTAATGCTCTCACTTTTATTAAGTCTCAACTTTTTGTGGCTGAATGTAAGTATGTCCAACAGTTGAGTCAAAAGCTGTAAAAATTGCAGAATTGATACTGAAACTTTAAGAGCGCGGAATAATTTATGCGGCGAAAGAAGCTCATTCTCAGTTGCCTACACCATGACAATTAAATGCTAATCCACGAGTTCTATTAACACTATGTACCCTATTTTGGTGAGAGAAGTTTAAACCAACTAGAACATTAACTTTTATTGATCGCACACTCAATCACCTCGTTTCAATCTTAAGTTACCGAATCAAATCAAGGAGTCACAGCTCTGCTCATTGAAAATATTATTTTAAGTTTCTCAGTCTCTAGCCAAATGTTTATTTTCTTTGCATCATTCCAAAACCACCTGATTGAAAGTGCAGAAACCCCCAAAAAACTTTTAGATTTAAATGGGTAAAGAATCGGGCCAAAGTCTTAAACTTAGTGAACAAAATTGTCATGTTACTTCTAAAAGGAAATGAAAAATTATGCTTCACTGTAAATCGAATATAGGCCCCTCCATTAATGAGTGATGCAACAGTCATAACTTGTATGTATATTAAGAGCCCTTGCAGGAGCGGTCCTTTTTCTTCACATATTTGCATTTTTTACCGAAACTAAAAAAAATGGTGAGTATGGATTGATCTGAGCTTTTCATTTGCTTCAAAACAATATGCTATATGTTATCGCACCAAGTTCACTAATTTTTTGATTCAGATCGCTCATAGGTATGCTTATAAAACAGTATGAACAAAATACTCAATCGGCTGGCTAAAGTACAGTGCTTTTCTCGAGAATAGTCTCCTGTATAAACGAGGATAATAGGAAAAAATGTCCCAAAATAAAAGTCCGAAGTATAAAAATGCCCAAAGTTAAAAAAGTCCACATCTAAAACATGTCCTAATATCTGGAATGTTCAGTAGCAGTAGCATAGCCAAAAACAAAAATGCCCAAATGTGACGTAATTTTACAAAGTAGCAAAATAATGAACTTGGAAGCTTTCTACAGATATATCCATGGAGATAATAAAGAAGAGTGATACAGAGTTTTCCTAACCTATTCTAGGTATGGTTAAACTACATACAACTAGATACAGAGCAATTTTATTATGCCTACAACCGGACTTCGGTTTTACACGCACTAAGCAACTTTCATAGAAGTACCTAATGAAAACAAATCAGGATAGAATCCTCGGGCGCGTTCAGTGGTATTAAACATTAAAAGATAAAGAGATAAAGACGATATTTTACAATATTTTAGGGGGATAGCCTATTGTTCGAGTTAGCAATGAGCCGCAAGACGAAAGTGATGAGGAGGTATGAAGAATTTATAAGAACAGGTAAATGGCAATAATAATTATGACTTCTAGTAACACCGGACTTGTGGGCATTTTTTATTTGGGCCATTTTATCGCTGCTACTGGACATTTCAGACACTTGGACATGTTTTGCTCATGGACTTTTTTTTACATTGGCCAATCTTTTACTCTGGACATTTATTTTTGGACATTTTGTCCTATCACCTAAACGGGTGACGCAACAAGTGCGACATTTGTGTATGAAAAGTCCTTGCAGCCTTTCTATTTTCCTTAGCTAGATTTTGAAGACTCACTGACTTGTCCGCCACAATGCTCTTACTGTAATCGTTCGTGCTTGTCGCCGCTGCGTGCTGGAATAGGACTGAACAATTTTTTGTTTGTTTTGTTTCTCTGTTGTCATAAGAATTAAAAACAAAAATGAGGACTTTAAAGACATTCATAGCCTGGATAGCGCTCAGAAAATGATTAACATTGGGATAATGAGGGGACGAATTGAAAAGATAATTTTTTTTTATCAGACAAGTGTAGACATATGAATAATAACTGCCAATGTGAAATTGAATCAATGACAGTTTGGTCCTTAAAATTGCACGCACGGCCATTCGCAAGAATTTGCATCAGTTTTGTTTACTTTTATTTCATGCTCACTAGCATTATTATCCGTTTGAAACTGCACCAGGACTACGAAGTATGTTAGCACTACTCCAATGATCTAGACAAACAATACAAGAGACATGTATTTATAATACAAAACCTCTTGGTCATTGGGCCAGCGTTACAACCATTACACCACAGGAGGCCGAATGTAGTCATCAGATCACTGATTAGTAAATTACTAGGGGGCTATGCCCCCTGGCCGCTACGCAGCTCAAACCCCAGAGGCCGCTTCGCGCTCTCTCAGGCCCACGTCTACAAAAGAGCGACCAAAAAAAAATGAAAACCCGATTTTCATACCCGATTCTTATTTGTCCAATCTCCCTCTGATCATTTTTCATTGGCGGGAATTTCAAAGAGGGTTATTCAAAATCGGCGATTTTGCCCTAATTTTGGATTTTGCCCGGAGTTGGATATATTGTTCCCTATCACAAGACACGTCTTTTTCCGGCATTGGCAAGTTCACCCGAAATTTTTCCCGCGCGCTACAGCGTTGCCACGTTGAAACAGGCAAATTCCGTAAGTGGCATTTCAATTGAGCTATGAAGTTGCGGTCTTAACGAAAATTCTCTAAAAATTGCGCGCTTTTAGAAAATGACCATGTTTTTAATGTCACATTAATTTTAACACGCATTACCTATTGCCAATTTTTCGGTTATTAAATCTAACAAATTTTACAAATCCGCAAATACCCAAAGAAGCTATCTTTAAATTTGAACAAAAAGTTGTCTAATCGATAGTTCGTTTGATTTCGCATCCATCGATATTTTATAGCTCGCAGGGAAACTTTTGGTTCGTCAGATATCATCATTTTTGTAAACAGCTTTATGGTGCGACGACGCTTTTTGAGTCCGGGCAGATAGAAATTTTAGCCTCCAAAAACACCGGGTAGCATTAATTCCATGGTTTCCTATGTAATTTTTTATGCTGAATCCGAATTTGACTATTTCATAAAAAATTGTCGCCAAGAGGTTGCCAAATGTGGCAAAAATGGCTTAAAATCGGCCTTTTTTGCGAATTATGGCCAGTGACTTGCCAGGAGTTGGTCAGACGACAAAGTTGGTTATTTTCACAGTTAAAACTCGTTAAACTTTCTACAAGCTGAGTCAAACTATTTCTGCTCACGGCAAAATCAAACGCGCGACAAGCAGCAAACTGAAAAAAAGACACCAAAATTGACGCTTTTTGCGGTTTTTGTCCGAAGTTTTTTGTTTTCCGACTGAGTGAACATTTCGACATTAAAAACATGGTCATTTCCTAAAAGTGCGCAATTTGTAGAGAATTTTCATTAAATCGCAACTTTACGGCTCAATTGTAAAGCCACTTACAGAATTTGCCTGTTTTCAACTTGGGAACGCTGTAGCGCGCGGAAGAAATTTCGGGTGAACTTGCCAATGCCGGAGAAAGGCGTGTCTTGTGATAGGGAACAACATATCCAACTCCGGGCAAAATCCAAGAGTAGGGCAAATCGCCGAATTTGAATAACCCTCTTTTGCCCTCCTTTCTAAGCTCTCTGGTTTACTCTTATATTCAAATAATCTTGGTCCTATTTTCAAATTCTGATTACAGCGGGCCTATATAAGGACTATCGCCTGTTGACAACCGAAGATCGGCCCAGAAGAACGCTCAAGCGAACTGTGACAATAATTAAAAATTTACATTGTTTAAATGAGAGAATTTGCAACTTTACCACGTAATATAAAAAATACCTGGGTTATATTTTCAAAATCTGAATATAGCGGGCTCATCTGAAGACAATTGCCTGTCAATGGCCGCAAAAATTATGAAAATCGGCCCGGTAGAACACTGGAACTGAGCATTACCAGATATGCAAATTCAGGAGGTCTTGGAGCTTACAGTATAGAAATTGGCTTTTCAACACCTATTGAAAAAGAGACTGATAGGTATCAGCAAAAAGTTGTACGAGTCTAATGTTTTGTGCGTGTCGGAAAGCCAGTAAAACTTTACCTACTAATCGTATTAGCCATTATTATCAGGGAAAACCGAAATCATGAGGTGACACTGTGACAGTGTGTGAATTTCATTGAATAAAGAATTGTGTACCTTCACCAGCTGAGCCAAATTGATGGTAAAGAAGCCGTACCCGTCAACCACAATTTTCCGACAGTTCAAACGCATCATAAAAAGGTGAATCTGTAAAACGCAAAAAGGATAACATAGTTAACCTTAAAAAAGAAAATATTGACCTCAAATGATATCAGACATACTGAGGTTTGAAACGGGAAATATAGTGAGAGCTATACTTACTTTTCTTTTCTCCTTTTTGTAATTTTCGAGAGATTTTTCCTTTTCTTTCTTTTTCAATTTTGTTTTAGGTAGGTAGGTACGGTGCGGTGGCGTTTGCGGACGTGGCGTTTGCGGATTCTAAGAATCGGGTGGCGTTTGCGGATTCCCATATTTTGACGGTGGCGATTGCGTACATGCGGAACAGGGCCGGTGGACTTTGCGGACAGGAAAATTTCGGCGGTGGCGATTGCGGACGGAGGGGTAGGCACCTACATATGCTGCCCCCCACCCCTGCGCTGTATATTAAAGAGAAAAATTACCGGAGAGGCTCTGGACTCCTTGCCGTGGATGTAGAATGACAACAATATTAGTATTAAACATTAGTATTATATTAGTATAAAAACATATGAGCTGTGAACATACAGTAAATTTTTAAAAACAGGCACATCAGAAATCAAGAAACTGAAAAATCGTCAGTTTCAGTTCATTTCTAGGATGGAAAACATGTTGTAAATTCTAGTCCAAAATTACTGAAAGTCAAAAAATTAAGATATGTTTCCATTTTTCGTTGTAATTTTTTGACTTTCAGTAATTTTGGACTAGAATTTACAACATGTTTTTCATCCTAAAAATGAACTGAAACTGACGATTTTTCAGTTTCTTGATTTCTGATGTGCCTGTTTTTAAAAATTTACTGTATGTTCACAGCTCATATGTTTTTATACTAATATAATACTAATGTTTAATACTAATATTGTTTTCATTCTACATCCACGGCAAGGAATCCAGAGCCTCTCCGGTAATTTTTCTCTTTAATATACAGCGCAGGGGTGGGGGCAGCATATGTAGGTGCCTACCCCTCCGTCCGCAATCCCCACCGCCGAAATTCTCCGGTCCGCAAAGTCCACCGGCCCTGTTCCGCATGTCCGCAATCGCCACCGTCAAAATATGAGAATCCGCAAACGCCACCCGATTCTTAGAATCCGCAAACGCCACGTCCGCAAACGCCACCGCATCGGTAGGTACACATTAATTTTGTGACAAGATCCCATAGGCTTGACGGGACTCTTACCCTTTTTGGGGTTTTTGGTGATTATATCAGTTATTTTTGGATTTTTCTGCACACGGTCAGCACCATGAGACTCCTATAAAAAGCGAGGATAATTTGTTTGCAATGAGTATCGGTGGATAAGAATTCATTACTATTTAAGTTACCTCTTGGTGTATTTCTTCCCTTAATAGTGGAAAATATGTCCCATAAAAATTTAAAAGACGGGGGAAAAGAGATTGAATACAGGCGCTCACAAGAAAATACTGCTAGAATTTACTGCTGTCATTATTTATTTTTTTTTTTTTTAAATACTATAAAACAAAAAACATTGAACAGACGTATTTCTCCCAGAAGGGACTATGTTGCATACAAACCTTAATGGATTTTTCACAACATCCAGAGGAGTTAACACTCTCAAAAGAATGAAATAGTCCTTGCGAAATATTTGCGAGAAATTCGGTCTCCACAATGTAAATGAGGAATTAGTTACCTATAATTTTAATGATAGGTTGTTAAATCTCGAAGAAAGGCAATCGTATGAATTTTTGGCTTTAAATATTGACGAATGAAGTTATTAAAGGTCCATGAAGCCAGTAAGCTTTGTAAAGCAGAAAAATACTTCAAAGATTAGCATAAGAAAATTCTCACACCAGGGCCGATCTTCACTTAAAATGATAGTTCACTAAAATAGAAGTACATACTTAAAATTCCTCGAGTGAAATATTATTGCTTTGACTCTCCCTATAAACTACTTACACTTATTAATATATCTAATTTTCTAGTGACAAATAGAGGGGCAGAAGGTATAGTGAAGTTGAAAACATTGCTGAAAAATCTGGACAAAAACATTTTATCGTTACATTTTTGGAGAGTAGGTAGTGTGTAATAAGTGGGTAAAACAAATTTTTATCGCAAATACCAGATTACCCAGGATTTTGTGAGCACAGAAATGCTTGATAGTGTAGTCTGGGGTTGAAGTAAAAAATACAAAGATTTACTCTCAGCGAGGGACTAAATTCGAAGACCCTTTAATGTAGGTTCCTTAAATTTTGGATACAGAGGGCAGAAGGCGTTCCCTCGTTTCCTAATTTACAGAAACAGTTTTCTTGTTTCGAGTATCCGTTATAGTCTATTTCGAGAAAACGTATACTTGGTTCAAGAAAACATACTTTCCTTAATTCAACACAATTTTGTTATCTTGGATCAAGATAACTATTGGCTAGTTCCGAACTAACGCCGTATTGGAATCAGGAAACTTTTTAAGGAAACATATGTCCTTAAATTTAGGATTTTTTTTTCAGTGTATCGTGAAATCACGCGTGTGCTCTTTACTTATTAATACCTACCTATGACTCCTAAATTTTTTATCAGAGGGATAAATATGTAGACGTATACATTCATAATGTAACCTAGAAAATATCACAACGACCTTTTAAAATACTGGAAGAAACTTTACAGTACGGAATCAGTCCATTTAGTTGAGAAATTTTTAATCCGCCCAAAAATTTATTTGTAAAATATTGATGTGCGAATAGTAAAACTCAGGAAAAAAAATTCGGTGCTCCGCATCATATATGTTAAGAAATAAAGTTAAAACAAAATCAAACTCTCTCAGTTTCATACAATTAAGGAGAGAAAAAACTGTAGTGGGTACTTCAACTTTTCTCTTCTTTTGCAAAATAAGAGTTTCGTTCCATTTCTTAAAAACGTCTCTTTGCAGAATAAATTCACTACAGAATATGCGGAACGATGTTACTTCAGACAGGTTTTCTTGATTCTGGAGTATGGTTTATGGAAATGATTTTTGGACGAAAATTCTAGAATTAATACATGCTTATCATTGGTCGAAATCTTTCAAATTGGTAGAACTTTTCCAAGGGATTTGGTAAACACACCTGCAATCCATTCTTGTAGTTTAGAATGCAAGGATCATTGTTAGAAAATTTTACAATTCTAATGACTTTTTTAGATAAATAATCATTCACATAGGTATAGTGAAATCTGATTTTCGCATGGTTTGAGTTTTTATGAAAACGTGTGTCATTTTCTAGTTCAATGGCACACTTGATGTCCTCAATCTTTTCATGCATCATAGCATCTTATATTGAGATTTCCATAAATTTTTAATTAAAAATCTTTTGATGATTCAAGACAAAATCCACAAAACATATTTGAAATGGGTTTCCGTATAGGTTTGTTGGAATCGGCTGCGATACTTCACGCAGTAAATGATGAATGATCTCTGATCTTAAGTGGGTACAAAAATTAGCTTTTTTACCTCATGAAAACAATAACAGGGCGGAACTTTAGATGGACTGCAACCGAAAATAAGCGATCAATTCCATGTTTCGCCCCCTATATGATCTAATAGATACCTTTCTACTTTATTCACGTGGTTCGATATCGTAAAAGGTATTACGACGGTGAAACTACCAAACCACGTATCTCGGTTTGCGACGTCGCAGACTTCCTATCATACTTGATTTTTTAAATGAAAAACTACTTAATGTCCAGTCTTGAAAATTTCTGTGATTTTTCCTCTTCGTGCGGAGAAAATTCTGTGAAAATTTCAAGGAATGATATTGATTTGGTCTACTTCGAAAAAATAAAATGCGAGCGTAGATTTTTAAACACCGCAAACGAGATACGTGGTTTGGTAGTTTCACCGTCGATTAGTTAAAACTCAACTCCAAGGCTAATGATGATTGATGACTGTGTTTTAGGTATATGAATAACAGTTGTTTAAAAAAATTGTCAAAATATAGGTTTCGTTTGTAAGTTAAATCGTTTCAATAAGTAGGTCTGTGAAATGTTGGTCATCATAATCATCATCGATATCTTCCTCCTTTCTGTGTTCTTATAAAATACGAAATGAACAATTTTCCGAAGACAATTCATGCCCTAATTCATACGCTTTATTTGCCCCGAAGTTGATGGAACTTAATGTAACGAATTATGACTCTGCATAACAACTTGCTTACCACTTCTTTTGAGTGTTTGTCTAGATTATTCTGGATACAGATATCCTGTAGGAACAATTGACTTTGAGAGCCCTGAAATTTAAAACAAATTAAAAATTAACACCGCGAAAGCTTCTTATTAGGTAATTGAACGACTTTAACGGGCAGCAACTTAATCTTCTCCACAGTTCCACGCAAAGACTTGCGGAAGCAGAGGTGTGTGATGATTTCATAGATAAAATAAATTGAACACAAGGCAAGTGTGTGCGGTAGGTTCTGAGAAGATGCGCCTTTATTTTTCAGTGTACGTATGCCTTCCAGCATGGCTTTCATCTTAAAAAAATGCAACAAACACGAACATATTGAACATCGACAAATCGATTTTGATCATGCTTCAATAATTAAAAGAATATCTACGTTGTGGTCCGTCGGATGACTGGCCATTATAAATTCACTTATCTACGGTTTTTAAAATAAGAATTAAGATTCTGTTTCTACTAGCCGTTCTGGGCGCGCTTCGCGCGCCCGTCACGCCTAGCCGGGGGCTACGCCCCCTGGACCCCCGGTCACTCGCTACGCGAGTGACATTCGGCTCGCTTCGCGAG